TGTGTGTCTGTGTGTGTGACACAGAGAACAACTACCTCTCTGTCTCCCTTCACCTTCTATAGTGGATCAGATAAGCGGATACCTGACCAGACTAGGGTGCTGATGTGTCACTCACTCAGTGTATGAATGAATGAATAAAGCTCAAAAGTGACTCAACAGGTCACTGGAGCTAAATGACCGGCAGACAATACTCATGGGCACACCCTGCATATCTGCTCCTATCTGCTCTGCCCAATACAAGTCTTAATCTGCTGCTCTGTTCAGTGTCACCACAGCAGGGATTATGGCTTCTGATTTCTCTTTCTGCTTTTTCTTTTGAAATTGTTTTATGTCATATCCTTTTTCAGTATATTAAATGTTCTTCTATTGCATGTTTTGCTACACATGTAAATAGTTCTTCCATTTACATACTCCCCATGATACTTTATCAGCTGCTTTTGCATTACTGCTGCTCCAGTTGCTCCACTCTCATCTCATTAAAGTGACCCAAGTCTGCTGTAGATTCTTGTACTACCTGAAGACCGTTCAAGCTACTCCCCTTACATTTGTGCTTTACAGTGAAATGTAACTCACCTTTTATGGGTTTTTGTCTCTGGTGACTGTTAGTTACTATAAGATGACAGGCATCATGATGGGATGGTTTGGATTTATTGAAGTGCGTTTGTATGAGGTACTTAGTCATAGTCAGTGGATTACCTACAGTAGACAGGAGCTCCAGCATGGACACTAAGCCATGCACTGCTGTGGACGGAGGCAGCAACAAACTGTATTTTAGACAACAACAAAAAAAATCAATATCAGTTTAAGTGTATGATATATTTACAGTGTTTTCACCGCTTTATCTTGCCATCAGACCGCTCCTTTTCTATGGGAAACTAAAGCATTTATATTGATCTATACTCTCTTCACATCCACTAGTCCACTCCAGCCATTTTATGGAATAGAAAACAAGAGTTTCGGGCCACCCCTGCCTTGATCGGTTAGTTAGTTTGTGTTATTGTGTGGCTTTGGTGTTTTAACACATTAGTTGCTGTGGGTTGAAGCAGCTGTAGACCAGCAAATCATGTGTTCTGCAATGTAAGATTACTGTTTTGTCAAAGAGGTCTGGTGGCTGTGGAGAAAAGGATATAAGGTGTCAGTTTCCCATAGGAAAGGTCTGTCCTACGGCAAGCTAAAGTGGTGAAAATATTCTCAATATAACATACAGCTAAACTGATGATTGAACTGAATGATTTGTTTCAGATGGGCAACCCTTTAACTAGAATCACACTTGCTTATAAAGTCCACAAGTGCTTGCAGTATGTATGTGTTACACCATATATCACATCAGTGAAAAGAAAGAAATGAAAGACAATAAAAAAGTGTGCATTGAAAACCTGTTGTTCAGGAGCTGGGTGGTTGACCTTTCAAACACTTTGTACCCGACCAGAGAATGTTGCTTCAAGTGGAATTAAATGTTACACTTCACAAGACATTGATGTAACACAGGTTGCACTGGTTTCTACACGTCACTAATCCTTCTTCCTGTTTGCAGTAAGGTGGACAGATATGTGCTGTTGTCACATTTCTCACACATCTCACTCAGCGTTCCGTCCAGCCCCTCACATCCATGTCTCAGATTGTCCATCAAAGCTGTACTCGTCCCTTTGTTAATGAACTAATGCAGTGCTGGCCCATTGTATTGTCTCTGTTGTAAAAATAGTTACGTACAGAGTTACTCTCAGGACTTACATGGTGATGGGGTGTTTGTGTGGTCTGGGAATGGAAAGCCCTTTGTTTTCAGACACTTGAGAACAACATTGACATGGTGTGTAGATCTGATGTGGGTTTTGTTCCTCTGACGCACATGACGTTTCCATGGTAAAAATGACCTCAAGACTGAAACAGTGTGTTTGTGGAGAGGCTTAACAAGAGGAGAGTATAGCAATATCTTTTTGGATGCTTGAAGATAATATGACACTGATTCCATTTGGGAAGTTGTCTTTGACTGAAGGCAGCCCAGAGAAGTGTCACCTATCAGCAGGGCAGATGAATCGGGTCCTCTTGGTTTTGTCGGTGCATGAAACCATGTGAGGTTGACTGCTGAGTGTGCTAACACTTTATCAGCTGCTCTAAGCAGTCCTCCCTACCCTCTGTTACTGTACACTACAGTAATACAAATGACTCTGTCACAGTGCACTCTTTGTCTTTGAGGATCTGCTCATTCTCTGTTTCTCTTCAATCCACTTGTACTGGTTTCCATACATTAGTTCGACATTTGATTAAGCACGTATGTGTTCAAATGTGATACATGTGATGAAAGTTAATTTGCTTATGTACAGTTTAGGCGGCACCTAAACTGCTGCCAAACTCATAGAATGTGTTAGCAAGCATGTACTAAATATTATTATTTGTTCTCCACTATAATTTAATGAAGATCGTGCTATGTGACAATATGATATGGAACCAATGAGATTATCACCCTTTACTGGGAAGGAAAACCATATTTTAAGGATCAATACAACATCAAAGACATGTCCTAGCACAGGTCTTTAGGACTGTAGAGACAGAATGAATGGTACTAAGCTGAACAGGGGTTTTAACCTTTGGGTGTGGGCTGCATGGCTAACATGAGCAGCTGTGTCCTCCAACGACGTCTTACTAGTGCTTACAAATATGCACCAGGGACAAACTAACCGTAGTTGTTTCTGTGTGTGTATTAGTCAGTCGTTAGAATACAGCTCAGCCTTTCAAGTGTATAGGAGAAAGTACTGTGGCCACAAAACTCCCCAAAAGCTGTTTCTTTGTCTGTTGTGGGCTTCTGTAGAAGCATGGCAGTTCAACATGGCGGCATCAATGGGTAAGGAACCGCTTATCCTTAGAGGCCGTCATGTTGAACTGTCACGCTTCTACAGTGTAATCCCACTGTAGATAAAAATGGTTCATTCTGAGGTAATGAAAACACAGCTCTTGTTTTTTATTGCCTTTAATCAATGGCAAAGTGGGGGAGAGAGAGACACTCAGCAACCCTGGGCTGCAGCAGCAAGGACTCAGCCTTGGTACATGGGGTGCTGGCTCTACCAGGCACCCTATCCAGGCACCCCGAGACTTTGGCATTGGTACCAAATAATTCCAAAATGACCCCCAAAACACAAATTCCAACCTGATCCCTGTTAGTGATAAATTCTGTGCTAATACTCTTGAGTCCTTAAACTGAGAATTCTTAAGTATTCTTTTTGGCTTGCTGAGGCAAAGCACCACTGATGTAAGGCTTCTACGTCACTTGAACCAAGTCACATCAAAACACCGTTTGTCGAGCCTCAAATGCTTTCCTTCCATCCCAAGTGCATTTCTGGGATTAAGTTATGTGGCTAAGCTTTTCTCAGAATCATATTTGTTTCCCATAATCCATCCGTTGAACAAGTCTGGAGGAGGATCATGCCAAACAGACATGGACTGTGTCAAAATTTGAACATTGAAATATTTTTTTCCTTGTTAAAGCTGAGGGTCAGTGTGTGGTTGGTAATGACTTCCAGAGATGGTTAATGAGATGGTTAATTTTGACTGTGTCTTTCTTCTTTTGGGTTTTCTGTGTGTTTTGTAGTGGTATTGTAGTGCAGTTGGAACTATTTTTCTTTGTTCTCCCAGATTGGACTGGTTCAAGCTAGGCTTTCAAATCAAACAACCCTGCATAGATTTTTACTATACGCGCATTAACTCTGTATCTTTCTTCATGCTTCTGATTTCTTTTATTGCCTTTTGGGAATGTCCCTGATAAACGTGCCATCTTTTCCCTCCTAATAACCTCAGAAGGAAGGAAAATACCACACAGTTATTCCCCTCATGATTTGGACCAGTTTGCCTGGTGAACCGCACTGGAGTTCAGTACAACAGAGCCATGCATGAAGGCATTTAACCACAGACCCGAAAAAAGACAGCTCGGTTTTGGAGGAAAAGAGACAGAGGGAGGGAAACAGAGTGAGAACAAAATACAGACAAAGGAGTACGGAGATTCTTTCCTAACATGGTGAAGGAGGGACAGTCACTGAGCTGACTGCTTTCTCTTTAACCTCCTCTCTGACTGGTCCATCATGCCTCAGTGCTTGGAGGCTGAGCTGGGCAAAGCCAGACTGAGGGAGAGCAGGGAGGAAGAGGACAAATGGAGAGAAGCCATTATTCATTTGAATGTTTTTTGTTGTGTCCTATAAATAAACTGGTGCGGTGCTATGGAAAGTAGTGTTCTGTACTGCATATGTAATTATCTCTTTATAGGACATTATGGACATTGTGTATTTACACTTCTGAAACTATTGATGAACTCTACTTTAGTCCATGTGTCACATTACATACTGTACACTATCTGTGATCATTACAAAGCACCAACTCTGTTAAACATAGAGCATTTCATCATAGTTTGAGAAACGTTCTTTGTTTCCCTGCTAAAAGGGTCCTATTGGATTGATTGCATGTTATATGATATACAGAGCTGATAGGACTTTATCTGGACTACTCGCAGTAGTACCTGACTGTATAATAAATGCATGGATGATATTCAGATGCTGATGCAAAAAAGTCACTGACCGTTTTGGAACTGAACAGGAGTGTTGTCACCTTTTATGACTGAAATGTAACAATAAGAACTGATGAATATGACACATCCTGTTGTGCCTGTGTCACACTTACTCCCTTTTTACTTCCACTCGGAGAAAGGTTTGAGCCACATGCTTATTTTGCAGGCCATCCAGCAGGGGATTAAAATATTTCATAACTGCTACCATGATGTCAATCCATAACCATGTCAGAGCCCCTGCTGACTGGATCATTGTATGAACCACATGGTGATTAGATCAGCTGATTCCTAAGGAGACACAAGCTGCTAATTCCTTTGCCCTGGCAGTTCCACAGGAATATGTTGCATGGCTTTTCTTACATAAGGCGTCAAATCCCAAGTCTATATGGTGCGAGTAAAGCTGATCTCATTACAGAGCTAATACTCCCTCTCTTTTTTCTTTTTCTTCCAGGACCCCAGCTACTGGGTCCAGGTCCACAGATTGGAACATGGAGATGGAGGCATTTTGGACCAGGATGACATGCTGTGTGATGTGGTGGATGACAAAGATAGGGTGAGTAAAAGTGTGAGTGAAACTGAGAGCTAACTGAAAGATGTAATTTGATATTTTATTTATTTGTTTATGTTCACAAACTGCCATTTCCTGTTTTACCACCTCTTCTCATTTCCATTCAGCCTTTACTTGTGCAAAAATAGCTTTGGTTGTGTCTGTACTCTGAAACTTTGTGCGTAAAGCTTTGGCAGTACTACAAAGAGTTTCACTAACATGTGCTTATGATTACACCTGTCTGCTTTTACTGTCTCATCATTACTAACACATTACAAAACAGTAGACTACTGCACAGCACCATGTTTTCTGTTTAATCATTTCAACCTACTGGCAGTACTCCATTTCTTTCATATGAGTGGAAGGTCGAATCTATGTCAGAAGCCGGATGATATCATACTACCCACCCCACCCACCAGACCAACTGTAAATAATTACCCACAATCCCACCGCTTCCTTCCCATGGGAACAGTGCTGACTACACCTGAGTCACTAGCTGTTTGGCTTTAATGTGGGGGCAGTTAGTGAGCCATAACCCCCTCTTTGTGTCTTTGTGAGTGGTTTAAATGATTTTTCTTTAGTTCCTTTAAATTGTTGAATAAAATATCTGTTTGCTAGAAGTGACTCAGCAGTGAAATTCTTACAATAAATAAACACACTGAATTTAAAGCATCAACAGACAGAACTTTTGTAATACAACAATCATAGTCATCCACTATTACTGACTGTAGTGTATCCTAGTGTAGTGATGACATGGTTGATTTATCTGGTGTTTTAATCACTTCAGAGATATCTAAGCTTAAAGCCAGCAGGCCCATGGTAATATATTCCTCTTAATCCTGATGAAACGTGTGAATTTCAGTTGAAAGTGTTATCTTTGATTTCTATCTGTAAGCAGATTTTCTCAGGATATCTGATGTCTTGGAGCCACGGCTATCTTGTGAAATCTGAAAACGTGTCTGTCCTTCTCAAGAACACGGTGTTTCTTGTACGGCCATTTCATATTGAGAAGTACATTTCCCACATTTGACATGTAAGGTTTGAAGAAGTTCAGCGAGCTGTCAGTGGCTCTGTATAGTCTGTTTGATATGTGTATGCCTTTTTGGTTTTGTGTGTGCATTTGTGCATGAATGAGAAACTTTGAGAGAGAAGAAGAATATGTGTGCATGTGTGGCTACACACCATAATGATTGTGTGGTAGGTGCCATGGTAACGCATCAGGTGGGATCAGGGGTGAGAGCAGCTGTTTTGCACCTGCTGTCTGAAACACTCCTTTCTCCCTCTGCTCTCCTCTCCTCTCCTCTTCTATCTCCTGAAGGAAAGAAAGAAAGAAAAGAAAGAAAGAAAGAAAGAAAGAACTTGTGTTTTTGACAGCTACAAATGATTGATTTCTTGGCACATAAATATTTTCTCCTTTTCATTATCCTCAATTTGTTCTGGTGCTGTGAATATATGCTCCCCCTGGTGGTTGTGTGGGCTCTTTACATCTCACTGATGACATTTCATTAACATATATTTTAGCCTAACCTATTAACAATTAACAAACACAATAACTGCGACAATCCAACATGGATTATTTATTTCATTTTTGATTCTTTTTATATCAGTCTCATCAGTATAGTTTTATAGTAATATTCTCAGGTTGCAGGTCAGGTTACATTGTACTATATACCTGTGTACTGTCAAACCCTTCACAGCCCCAAAAATAAACATTGATAGTACGGTCACAAGACTGACTACTGTATTACAACTCTGTTGGTAGATGTTGTAAATGACACACAGTGCATAGATCAGCAGGATTTGGGCTAGGACAATGAACTTTATGCCAGTGGAATAGTGTGTACACTCTTCATTTTGTGTCAGTGGGTGCGTGGGTGCTTTCTTCTTTGTGTGTGTGTGTGTATTTGTTAGTAGAAAATCCAGTTTGTCCGGTTCTCTGTATCAGCTACTGCTTCCGTCCCTGTTTTACTCTACTAACAGGAAGGAACACAGTTAACCAGACCTGTTCATTTTAACCCATGAATGACAACGCTGTTCTTGTTCTTATGGATATAGTAGTTCCACAGGCATCCTGGGCTGTGCTGGGCCTAGACAGATTTTGGTATACTGCTTTTGGAAATGTCATAAATAAAATGTGCTGTCTTCTCACTATCACATTATAAAACACTTTCAACCAAAGTTTATATATAACTTAACATAAAACAAAGAATCCATTTAACCATAACAAGGTGAAACAACAACTTTTGTGTCATTGTAGCCAATGAGTCACATGCAATCAGATCTATCTCCTCACATGTGAACTACAGAGTCTGTGTACATTCAGCTGGAGGCACAGGTTTGATGGGGTACATCAGTGGAGTGAGTGCTGTCCTGTTTCACCTTGAAAACCAATGACCCTGACGTGATTTGAACACGCAACGCCTTTTCTGATCTGGGAGTCAGAACTGCCTGCTACGTGCGGCCGACGCTAAGGTCCTACACTTGGACTTTTTGCAGCTTCCTGTATTTCCTTATTTCGGCTCTTTTAGTGTGCCAAATTTGTACAAACACAAAATCTGCACACTCATCAAACATTATTATGTAGTGTCAATGTGCAGCTGCAGATAAACTGCATACCTAGTTTTGCAGCCCATAGGCAAAAAACATGCCATTTTAATATTTTCTTCTTCTAAGAACTTCTGTATTGGACCATTCAGTAGATTCAATGTGTAATAAAATTTGTTTCCACCTTCGGTAAGGATTTCATATCCTAATTTTAAACTCATTTCTTCCTTATATATCACTTTGTCTCTGTTTCGCTCCTTTTCTTTCAAGAGAAACATTTCTGTGTAAATTTTCTGTATTTCAGACCACACCAGACTGATACTCCTTACTTTATATTTACTGTGGGCTGATATCCACTGTTGGTGTTTTTGCTGTATCGATTTCTGTCACATTCAAGTGTATATGAATGATTTCGCTGCAGTGATATAGAGAGTAAACAGAGCAGAGGGGAGTTAATGTAGAAACTACTGTTGTCACTTTACAAGTTTCTGTGTGTCTACCGTTGGGAGCACCCAAGCCGTGTGTGTGTGTTTGTGTGTGTTTGTGTGTGTTTGTGTGTGTGGTATGTGAGATGTCTGGCTCAGGTTCAGCAGTCAGATTATCACGCTGTGATTCATATGCAGTCATAGAGATGCATGCTGCAGCCTGTCTGTCCCTCTTCCACAGATCTTCACATTGATTATCTATCTAACTTCTATTTGACATGCATGTGAAATATGAGAGTATATTTATACAGTTAGTTTTACTTTTGGTCTTGTGTTGCACAAATGTCCCTCTTGCTGTTCCAAGTTTCGTTTGAGTGTGAAGTTGAGCTCTATGTCTACATTTTTTCCCTTATAAAGAAAATTGTGATGAAATTAGGATTTGGGCTAGGACAACTAGGACAAACATATTGCTCAGGTGACACAAGTTGGTAATAACTGTATCTGAGTAGGCTAAAAATCTGAATTTAGAGGGGGAGAGCAGAAACACATGACCTTTTAGTTCCATCTTGTCTGTCCACAATGTCCTGACACTACTTACAGTATTATATGTGTTACTAGTGAAGTGTAAGGTATGTTTGTGTCCATATATTTTCATTGATGTTTATTGGCAGTGGTCATACCAGCTTTTTGTGCACTACTGCCACCAATTGGACTGAAGTGCGAAGTTGTGGTTTAGCAGAGGAATAGCTATTTAAAAAAAACGTGTCAGGATTAAGTAAAATGATGTTGCTTGACAATATTCATCTAGATCTATAGGGTGTATTCTTAAATCAATGATGACTGCCAATATGCTTTATGCTGTCTGTGACCTCTTCTCAGGATGTGTAATGCCAAACAAAAAGCTTTGTTGACAACTTCATGGTGCAACGGTAGAGTGTCTAACTCCAAATCAGACAGTTGTCCAAATTATGTCAGCGTCAACATTTTTAGGTGCAGAAGAAGCCGTGGATTTCAAAAATATTTCATGTATGGTGTATATTGCAGGAATTCAATAGCAAATAAGTGTTAGGGTAAAGGATTTGAAAAACAAAACAAACCAACCAGTAATCATAACCCCAAGTACAATGCGGGTACTATAGACTAATACTATACTTATACTAAAACTACTACTAATGGTGCACTCAGACAAAGATCCTAACTGAATATTTAACCCTCAATATTTCTTAGCACAGCAACATAAATCTAACACCAGGAAACATACGACTTTTTTTTTTTACAGAGGATAGTAAATACTGCAGTCTGTTTTAATGTGGCCAGCTTTAGACACACTGCTGATACATAATGTCGAATGAGACAAATTGGGCTGAAGCTCCTAGCCAAATAACACAACCTCAGAGTGTTTAGGAAGGAGGTGTAAACTTTCATCTAGCTCAGGGCCCTTATGTTAGACTTTTGTGTGAAAGAAAATCTACTGATAGCTTTGAAATGGCTGCGATACAGGCACTTCATCCATACACCAGATGGCAATGTGGCAATAAAATGACTCCTGGTTAGAAGATGGCCTTAGGTAAGAAATTCACAATATGGGTCTGTTGAAATGAGTTTATAAAGAAATGAAATGGGTGTGATATGGCCAATTAGATGAAACTTTAATGGTCATTATAGGGAAATTGGGCTATTGCATTAGCAATTCAAATGGTATATAAAACTGTTGTTGTTGCGCAAGACAAACTCGTTGTCTGATGTAGAAGCGAGCTTAATTCCTGTAATTAAGTTCTTAAATATGTGTATAAAATTGGAAGTTTCAGACTCATAGGTGGAATTTATTCACAGTGTTCATGTATCTAGTCAGGAGAAGAGGACATTGCTTATGGTTGTGACTGCCCACCCAATCCTGTTCTGCACTGCTTGGTCCCCCCCTCACTTTAAACATCCCTAACCCTTAACTCTTGATTGAGCCTTATCCAACTTGTTAGCTTACTTAGTGTGCAAGTTGCCATCTAGATATTTCATCTATAGGGAGCTTAACAAATAAGC